TATTCAGAAAAGTTGAATAGAGCGCAAAACTTATGGGCTTTTCGACCGCCCAGCTTGCGATCAGTACATGACAGAGAACGAGGGATTGCGTTCACACCTTGATGGGGACAGGGCTTGTCTGAGGCATGTCGACGCCCTGCCAACAAAGGGGCTCAAGGCCAACTTGTTACTTTCTCAACGCTCCCATGTGCTCAAAAAACATGACAAGGCTGAGAGATGAGAGGCAGAGTTTGTTGTTGATATTGTACTTCACCATTGGGCAAGGCCATGTCATTGTATGACTTGGCACCTTTTCATTGTTGGGTGCCCATGTTGTCATAAGTTGTATGATTGCTATTTGAATGTAATAATAATGATAGTAATGTGTGAACATAACAAAAATGACTCACATTTCTGTTTCCATCCACATTATATTCTGAATTCTAATATTTAGTGTGGATATATATAGGGAGTTGCTAAAGCAACAACCCACATGGATACACTCCCGCTCTTCCATCAACTCTTGCTCTCCAAGTGTTCTCTCTTGCCACTCTCCACTTGTGTCTATTCCAACTCTCCTTTGTTGCTCATTATTCGTGTGTTGTCCAATTCTCCTCCATCGCTCTCCACTTGTGTCTACTCCAACTCTTCTCTCCCGTTCTTTATTTGTGTCCAGTGCTACTCTCTGTTGTTGCTATCCACTTGTGTATACTCCAATTCTCCTCTGCCATTCTTTATTTGTGTCTAGTGCTACTTTCCATTGTTGCTCTGCACTTATGTATACATACTAAATTCTCACTCCTAATGCTTCCTCCACTCAAATGCAAGTCGCTTCATTTGTTGACCTTTTCTACACTATCCCAAAAAGAATTGTGGAGTGTAATCTTAAAAGAAATTACAAAGCATGCAACCACAACACCTTTTGGGGTGTGGCATTAGCAATTCTCTCTCTCTCTCTCTCTCTCTCTCTCTCTCTATATATATATATATATATGTATTACTTTTATATTATGTTGTTTTAATATTATTCTACATATCTCTATAAACATCATAAAGTTTAATTTATTTTTTTCTTCTGCTCATTTCTTTTTTATAAGTTTTCTATCAACATATTTGAGAGTTTTATGTATAAATAGTTATTCATAGCATATAATGTTTTTAAACACATTTTATTGAACAATATGTTCATTGTTATGGGTATTGTGGTAGATAAATCCGCTGTCAAAACTTCAAAAAATATAAATATAGAATTTCTCTACAATTAAATATTTTTCTTAGTACTAATTTTCATCTATCTAAAATAAATATCCTAAAAACATAATACCAAAATTAATCATACATGTATCAAGTACATTTGTAGTCCATATTACTAGCTAAATATAATTTTTTATGTATGTATTATAGTCATTTTTTGGAATTAAAATTTGTTAGGAAAATATTAAATATTAAATAAATAAGGTAAAAAATAAAAATAAAAGAAAAAATTTAATATTAATTCGTTATCTAGAACATGTTCCTCGTGATGGAGATTGAACTGGTCCTCCAGAGAGAAAACAAAATAAATAAATAAATAAACTGTTAGAACAATGTCCACAACATCCACAAACATGTTTCATTTGAGGCAATGTCTGAAACGATGCGTGCCGCCAACACTTCGGGGTGAAAGCGCAGTCTAGAGGAGGGCCGCGGGGGGTGGTGTTAATGGTGGGTTTGTTTATCACCACTAGACGTTCCCTCTGAGTGCATCTGAAATAGATATCCTCCACACCTGAAAGCGAGCTCAGCTCTTCTCTAGGAGACTGTACACACAAGTGTACACTTATCCAAGACAGTTGATCGGTACATGGAGGTTTATTCCATCCTCGCACGTTACTTCGACGCCTGCTCAAGTATTGGAAGATTGAACTGCGGCTGGTTGCGTTGTTCCTGATTCAAAGCTACCCACGTGAGTCCTTCTGGGAACTGTATCCCATTCCCCACGAACCAAAACCTGAGTTCTCATAGCTTCAAGTACGCTCTCTATCTCTCTCAGTGTCACCTGCACAGCAAGGGAAGGGGCTGCTGACGGTGCTGAAATACCATTAAGTATATTCGGACGGTGTTTGGCACAAAACTGACAACGCCGAGAGCGGTCCTCAAGGATGTTATCAAATCATGCTCTCAAGAGTCTCCGAATCATGGGTAAGTGCACGGAGTGCCACAATGAGGTCCATGGAGTGCAGGTCGCTTCACAATAACTCAGACATTTCTACAGGGTTTTACAATTATTTTAAATATGTGGTTTTATATATATATATATATATATATATATATATAACTAAGTCCTTTATATGTTGTTTAGTACAAAATTAATTACGATCATCTATCCAAACATAATAAAAAAATAATTGGACTGGTATCTTTTTTTAATTAATTATTTTAAACAATAATTTTACATTTATTTGACTATTTATTTATTCGAATAAGAATGAGTAAGTGTGCCAAAAACATCTAAATTTTGAACCCATGCCAGTGAGTATTTTATATTTTTACTTAATATATATATATATATATATATATATATATATATATATATGTTATCAAGATTAAGATTTTTTTAGAAGGATCAGAGAACTTTATTTCTCTTAACCATTTGAAATCAAAGAAAAAGAAATATATATATATATATATATATATATAATCTATTACATGCCCATCTAATTAAGAATGGCATTCTGGTTATTAAAATATGTCTTTACTTTCAAGTAACTCTATTAGAGCTATATAATTTTTTGACATTGATGTAAGATCTTTCTTGTCACATGAATAATGCAAACTCTTCTCATAAAATTCAATATTCCAAAATAAGTTACGGATTCTTTAATATAATAATTTTATTTTTAATTCAAGATATAAATTTCTAAATTCTTTATACTATTTTGTGTTAACTTCCATCTTATACCTTATGTAAGTTTATTCCATTATTGTGTTCCTATTCAAGCCATTCTATTTCATCGGAGTTTTAAATCATAATTTATTCCACGTGAAAGCTCTTGTTTGGATTATTTGATTTCCTACCTTAGCTTTTTACCTCAAATATTTTCTTCTGTTTTATTTAGCTCAAGCATGGAAATTAGACAATATCTAATTTTCTTTCCAACTATAACATACTCGTGTTAATGTGTGTGTATATATATATATATATATATATATATACACGATTTATCCAAAAACCACAATTTTTCATTAAATGTTTTTTTTTTTTTTTTTTTTTTTTTTTTTGGGACTTGATATTCAATACAACTGAGTTTTGATATAATTTTTTTTTTTAAACCTAGAATTTATTTTTACTATTGTATATAGCACTTCAAAGTTAGAAACCATGATGGATGTACAACCTTTCAAAATCATAGAATTTTAAAAAAATATATCATGTTAATGTTTTAGTTATGAAGCTCTTCAATATTCCAAATAATAAAACCAAATGTATTTTTCTTTTGGTTCAAACAATTATCTATTAAGTGAATTAATTCAAGTTCTTTCACCACATTAGTTATACAAAGCTTCAAAAGTAAATTTTATAATTCTTCTGTTTAAAAGGTGTAAATATATTTTTTTCCAGTGCTATTTTTTCGAATCTATTATTACATAATATATGTAGCCGTAGCTTATTACACCTTTAAAACCTTAGTAATGGTCACTTACCCAATTTGAACAAATCAATATATCTATAAATAATTAACCAATGATATTTAAAAATGAAAACAATTTATAAACTGATAAAGTTTAAAAAGTGCATTCAACACTAATATATACTTACTGATTATAAACTTTACACTAAATTCTTCAAGTGATGCATTCCAAAATACAACATGTAAATTCTAAACATCGTCTCCATAGTTATCATTTATTCAAGTAAAAGGATCAGTAGTCTTGGTATGAACACCATTTTCCATTAAAAATTCTAGTACCACATATTTGAGACTAGAATTTTAATGCAACCAATTTGATCACCCCACAGAATTAATCTCGACAGAATTTAACGGAAAGGTGTGTACATTTAAGCGTGCAGCTTTAGAGTAAATTCCAATGAGATCTAAATTACCAGAATATATTTGCAAACCTGTGCTTTGAGGTACAGCAGTGGTAGGAGAAAAACAAGCGACCAATGAAGAAGGCGAATGTTCCCCTCGAAAGATACTGGGATTCATGTCGCAACTTTCCAAATAATTGAGATGCTTGGTGAGACCCAATCTGAGAAAACTTTAGTGGAGGCTACACCAAGAGGTCAAGTCCATGACTGTACACTTGAACTAATCCGTGCAAAAACAGTATCTTCCGTCATGGAGTAATCTGAAGGTAAAAAAAGGAAACCATCATCATGCTCACGACCTCTTCAAACTATGCAACAAAATCATGTTCACCCTCCCTGAGCTAAGTTATGTACTATCAATCTACAACGGCTTTCCTATACCACCTTCAATGGAACTGGAACAGCACGGGGTTGTTGCTTCACAATGGATGTCCGAACTTCGTTTACGATCCGAGGTGTCTCAGGTTTCAGATGTGCGGCTACTTTTACTGCATCAGGATTGCAAAGAAGGTCAATCCATGAATCGTTAACCCAATCTCTTGATGTGCGTAAGTCTTCTATTTTAAAGGAACATGTATCTCCTTCTCCTGTGGCAACAAAAGAATCTAGTTAATTCTTTCACAAATGATGCAAAGCATGCCAGAGCTACAAGTAGTGAGCATAGGACCTGAGATGCACCAACACACAACCCTCACGACCAGACACCGTCACATCTACGGCACAAATAAGGGAAGGCAGCAAGGAAGAAAAGAGCGAGTGGGATACGTGACATGGTACCAGATCCAAGGGATACTCTATGTACAATACCAAAGAAGAAAGCATAATCAATTGGATACCTGGGAAATACACTTGAATATCCCCAGAGGATTCTTTGTTGATGATAATTCCTTCCCACCATCCATCATTCCACCATGCATCAACAGCTTGCCCGATATTACACTCTCCGGCAGAAACATTGAATGAGGCAAAAGGCCGAACGGTAGTTCTGCCTGCCACACGCATCCCTGACTTATCAGGCCCTGCCAATCGCCAAGCAGACACCCATTCCTGCAAACACCAAAGTGAATATTGAAAAAAAGAGTAAGCCAACAAAAATTAAGAAATTGTAATTTTGGCTTTTGTAATCAAAAGTCATTCTCTTGCCTGCTCGTGCAAAACGAAACTCCGAATAAAAAAAAGTAGTAGTGAATTTACCTCAAGATTTCCTTCACCGTCTTCATTCTGCAGCTTATCATATCGAACTTTCAAACGTTTAGACACTCTTCTAGTAATTGTCGCTTTAAACCAGCAACCTCGTAATCCACTGTCCTGAGAGAGTATTTCAACTTCATCACCAACCTTGAAATCAAGACGATGCTCAAGAGAATTCATACCCCCGTCCATTTTGTCAACTCTACCTGTGGGAGGGGGCCTTGCATCGCTGGTTGAAGTGTGTCCTGGATCACCCGCGACAACGGCTCCGTTACCAGCAGCGTACGCTTTATCAACTGAGGAAGTTACCCAAGAAGAAACATTTCCAGAATCCCCACCCCGCATGCGTGAGCTGAACCCTACTCTACGTCTAGTGGATCTTGCAGTCCGTGGTCCACGTCTTATCACATTTCCTGGTTCAGCTTCCTCCTCCTCCTCCATTTCAAGTTCTTCACTTCCTGGCTCAGGATGTGGAAGGGACCAAGTAAATCCAGAAGAAGCTCTTACTCCAATATGTGATAAAACTTCTTGTTGCCAGTACCCCTTCACTTCCATTATATTAAAAGGCTTGATTCCCTCGTTGCTATCAAACTGGCGGGAACAGACATGCATTTGCACAGCAGCATCTATGTGCAGCACTTTGCTGCATGACTCGAAGTGTTCTGGGTTCAAAATTGTAGCAACACCGTCCACGCATTCAACGCTCAGAACCTGGGGAAAAGACGTGTAAAACACTTCTCGTGCATGTGGAGCAGGAGGAGGGATTTTGCAAGCTAACTCGTTTGTTTTGTGAAACCACCGCACTCGCAACTTTTTTTTCATTTTTCTATCTTCATACATGTCTTCAACGTAAGCAATATGGCGCTCCTCTTCGGTCAACACATAAACAAAAGCGTGCACCTACAAACAAGAAATCACATTTAATTACAGGCCAATGATTACTTTAGAACTCATACCCAAACCCAATGCAATAATTTATATTCAAGATCGAACTGCGATGTACTTCACTAAAAGACAAACGATTTAGTATACCGAAATAGTGATGCCATTGCGAGTAAAAGATTGAAAATGCCGCAGCCGCTTGCGCCAGATGCTGGGACCCCAAACAAAATCTCCTTTCTCGACATTCACTTGACGTCTCACATTACGTTCCTGAAGCACATCCACCAAAAGTCGTGTGAACACACAGCCCCGTACACCAACACAGTGTCCACAAGCCTAGAATACATATATAAATAAAATGAACGAAACAGAGCAACCACGCATATTTCGAGGAAATTAGAGAGCGTTGACGATTTACTAAGAAAATAAAATAAAATAATAATTAAATAAATAAAAACCTGACCAAGAAAAAGCGACAATGCAAAACACATAAATGAGAGATTTGACCCTCTTGAAGTAAATCACATGCACGATTTGAGAACACAAGCTAAAAGAACCAATTTACTAGAGAAGCACCAAAAAGAATGCTGATGTAGAAGTAAACAGGAACAAATGGATTTACATACAAGGAAACCACGACGTTTTTCTTCCTGGCCACTTTCCAGAGCTTCATCAGTCTCCTCCATCACGGCATCGACCTCTGACGATGCTCCCGGTTCCGTGCTTGGAGACCCTACATTCATTAACGCAAGTACTGAGGAAAAGAAAATCTTTCAACATCCTGGAAACTTAACAGAATAAGGTGGCAAACGTATACAAATTCCATACCCTTGGGTGCCACAGCCTTAGTAGAAAATCAGCTCAAGGACAACTTGCAACGAACCTCGTGGTTAGAGAAAACAGAAAAAAGATACCTGAGCTAAGGTACTGTTCGGAAGAAGTTGAGCGAGTTTTTGTCAGCAACGTCTGCAACCATTCCACAACTTCACGGCGAGCTCTCCACTTGAAAGCGGAGGTTGCTGTTTTGTCCAATCCAGCAAGTGGAAGGAAGTCGTCGCAGACAACATATACCATGTGTCGAAGGCTTCTCTCTGTTCCTATCACAGCCAAAGAATTTTGACCATGGCGATCCTTCAGGTAGTAGTGGACCACACGACTCCCTCTGTCGTGTGAAATAAATTGTTCTTCCCAGTCCACAAAGTATCTCAGACCTTGCGAAGCCATGGAAAGAGTTGCACCGAAGCAGGAGATGTGCTAACTGCATGTGCCTTCGTCTTCCTGAGGGTAGAGTGCGAGCAGATATCGCGCAAAAGCAGTTGTTGGTAGCTCCAACAGAGATTAGAAGATTTGCCACTTCCACGACTTCAACTCTACCACCTGAACAAGCGGCGGTATCGATTTGATGTTCTACTTCAAAATCTAAACAGAAATTATCGTCAATTCCTTGATAACCATCATGCTAAAATTGTGGGAACTAATCTGTTCCACAAACAAACATTAAAATGCGGCGGAATGTTTTCTTCTCACGTTCTACTTGACTCTAAAATCCAGTAGCCCCTCCAAAGTAATCAAAAGATGCTTATTTCTTTCCTACCAAGAGGTACTCTCCTGCATTGAAGATACAACAATTGACAGTTTCCAATCAATAACAAGAAATGAAAATAAATAAATAAATAAAATAAACAACCTGGTTAGCTTCAGAAACCGCATAGGATTAATTAACCCGTCCACGGTAAGATCCTCCAACACACTAAAAAGATGCAGTAACTCATCAAGGACAGAGGAGAGAGACAGGTAAACGAATCATCCCAAGAAACACGATGAGCTGAATTATAGAAGATAGAGAGAATGAACAAATGATGCAACAGTTCACGAAACCTGTAAGGTGGACAGTGCACTAATCAAAGAACCTATTGAATTAAATGCTGATCGCAGATATGAACACAAAGGCATCAACGACATGCGTAATCAAATTTCTTAAAAACACATATACAAGACAAGGAAGTATCTGACAACCTAGTTTCGTTCAACAGAAAAATCTACACTTATTGAAGAAGTATCTCACTATATCATCAATGTTTCATATTGATTTCAAACGACAATCCAAGGCGAAGAAGAAAAAAAGTACGCGATTTCGAGTGTACATTTGAAATGGGCGCTTATTAAGAACATGTTAGAACATGCACACACTGGAGTCCGAGCCCGCGACCACTTTGCCATGTTAATCATTAGAAATTTGGACAAGTCAGGCAAGTACGTTACCAATGAAAAGAATAACATAGAGTAGTTTAAAACCGGCTAAAATATCAATTACAACATTACCAAAAAATTCAAAAGACACCCTAGCACGCTTTGACTAGCTTATAAAACACTGCACCATCAACAAAACCGTGCACATAATTAGGTTGAAATTGCTGAAGTGTTCACTTCGTTCATTTCCAAGACAAACTCAGCTAGTGAGAGAAACGCAGAGATGGAACGAAAAACACGCACGTCCAACTCAATGGGACGCAACGAAAATTTTCCAAAGATACAACGAAGATCAGCAAAACTTACCTGTATCTACGTCGGAAAAATTAACTAAAATAGAATAACGGTCAAAAAAATCACAAAGTACACACAGGCACGCACTACAAGAGTTCTCACGACAAATAGGGCAAACTTCTACTTACAACGTGACCGTAGAAAGAAAAAACCTCATAACTCACGTGTGCTCAAACAAATCAGACGCATAGAAATATTCAACGCTTTCCTGAACAACATATGAACTAATAAATACGAAAAGGATCATTGCACACGACCTGACAACATGAATTCATGAGATTAAACGATTAGAACTCTTCCTACAACTCTGACGTACCTTGCATGGAGAATTCGTCGGCAACACAAAATCAATCAACTAGATTCCAGGAACTGGAATGAAATCTGCAAAACAGTCCGAGTTCCCTTGCACTATCATATTACTACAGGATTGATGAAATTACCTGAAAACAGCCCCAAGGAGCCCGGAGCTAAGCGCGGGCAGGCCAGCGAGCCCCAATGCAAATTCAGAAAAACACAACGCCTCGACGAAGTACATACTGCCCATCTCCCTCTCCGGGGCAACCATGGCGCAGCGTCTCCTGCCTCCCCTCCCACACCAACGCCTCTCCTCGCACCCTCAAAAGCCGCCACTGCGGAGCGCACTACGCTGCATCGAACACATCATGTATCACATAAAACAATCTCCTCGCCACAACACCCGCGTCGCACGCTCCCCTGCCTCTACATCTGCCAACATCGCCCTGAATCCGCCTCACGCACCTCACTCTCATTTGCAATATTCCGTTCGCAATGACTTCCTCCTTTCTCAAAACCCTAGCGCCACATTATTCAAACATTCATACCACTCCACTTGCCTCACCCGCTCGCCCGCACCGACCATCCGCTAAGGCACTCTGCGGGTAACGGAACAGCTTCAACCTGCCTCCGCCTCTGCGATCCTTTGCGGTTGCTATCTAACCCTCTGTCTGCATCCCCTGTTCCAACCCTAACCTCAACCGCCAACCACCAACCGCCAACCGCGTTCTAAATCACCTCTCTTCCCAGCCTCCCACCCCTCTGGCTTCCTTGCCCCCACACTTCTATATACCTTCACCTCATCCGCTCATAGCACACGCACCCTAGTGCCCTCATCAGCTCTCGCCAAACGTTTGTGCCTCAAATCCATCGCCAATCCGCTATCACAAACAACGACCTCCTCTCCATCTCTCTGTCTCTCTCTCTCTCTCTCGCTCGCTCTCTCTCTCGCCCTCCTTCCCTCCCTCCCTCCCTCCCTCCCTCCCACCTCACTACACCATTCCTCGCCAGAGAGAGCTCAAACGAGTGCTGTCAACGAGGAGGATCCAAATGGTACTATCCAACTGAGTCAAGTCCGGCGACGTGCGCGTGGTGAGCTCCTGAACGACTAACCCTGAGCTCTTTCTTGCTAGTGATTGAATGTGATGAGGCAAGCGCAGTCGCGCAAACGCTCTGGCAACTCCTCCCCCTTCCAACATTCTATTCGGCTGCTTCTGCCCAGCTTCGTGTTGGAACGGAGCGGGGAACCCCGCATCTCCACGCGGAGTTGGATGTGGAAGAGGAGGAAGGGATTGGACGGTTGGATTCGGAATCGGATGGAGCAGATGGAATCGGGACGATCAGCTTGATATAGCAGGCATGGTTTCGCGCGAGGTTGAGACATAACGAACGCGGAAGGAGGCCAACGAGATGCTTCCAGGGGGTTGGGGATTTCGAGTTTGGCTTGTCGCCCACGCCCGGCGCCGCTCACAATGGGAATCTCGGCGTCGTGGGTCGATGTGCCTGATTCTGCCATTCCGAAGAAAATCTTCACTCAGTCCACCTTTACGGAGCCTGTTCATCAACCCAAGATATTGGTTCCAGAATAAACAAGTGAGTCCTTCACACACGTTTCTTTGATCCTTGAGCAGCGGTAAGAAAGGTCCTCAACGTGGTAATTAATTTTCATCTCCTTCAATTATTTTACACCAAACGGGTAAAACAAATACTTGGTGGGGTAAGTTAAGTTTTACCCGACCCGACCCGACCCGTCCCACTCCGTCCCAACCCGTCCCACTACTTCTACGATAGTGTTGGTTCCAGGAAGGTTCATCCGAAAAGGGGCCCTTTTTCTTCCATTGTAGATCGTCGTGCGTTGCGGACACTCTCAACGACTTTCGAGCAGTTCGACTCGTGGATCGCGGAGTTTGCTCGTTCATGCTGTTGTCCCAGGATTGTTAGCATTCAGCAGTTCGATTGGCGGGGATGTCGGTTGCAATTTGAGATTTAGGCCAAGGTGTGTGTTGCAGGAAGAAGAATTGGAAGGGGAGTCGTAGCCATGGTGCTGTGGGAGCTCACGCTGGCCACAGCTTACGTGTTAGGATTGCCTCGAACTTACATGCTTGCGTTGCGGTTGCAGCGACGCTTGATCGCTCCCAAGCATCCGAAGCTGCGCGACTTTGTTTACAGGTATGGGATGCGGTGATTTGGTTAACCTGTTTCCTATTTGTGGCCCGATCGGAGTTTGTTTCTACGAGGGCTGCGAATCTCGGTGCCCTTTTTTGAAGTTGTTGAGTCGCGTGGACGCAGTTGGAGCCGTATTGTTGGATTTTAAAGAAACGACGGTCTGGTTGTAAGCACGCATGATCACGGTCGTTGGAGTGGAAAAGCAGACTTCTTTTGGCTAGTTTGTGAGTCGTTCTTTAGGACTGTAGCATTGATTTTCTGGGATTCTCGTAATTCATCCCCTGGATAATAGCTCTGGTAATGACCCTAATCGTCAGTGACTGGGAGTTGCCATGGAGAGGGGCACATGCTGCATTTTTTTATTTTTTTTTATTTTTCCTTACTCCCGGATTGTAATTTGTTTGTTTGTTGCCTTTAGAAGTCTAATATGAAGGAGAGGATTGCGAATGATTCTGAGACTTCACACGGTTTCACTTTTGACTAGCTGATGTCGAGGCATGTGGAGAAAGATTAGAAACTAATTACCCAATCTTCGAATGTCATACGATAATTTCGTTGCTTGGAATTATTGATTGCACAAGTTGTACAGGAAATAAGCTGTAAGGGTACTGTTTGAACCGATTGTTGTCTTTCCGAACATAATGAATCATGATAGATGGACTCTTTCATCATTCTGTAATTGACGTGTAACTGATGATGTATTTAGTTCTCTTTCCAGCATAAAATCCAGTGGGTACACTTCAAATTATTGCTAGGTATTACCTCACGGATGGGATAATGAAGTGTCACGAAACCTATTGAGTAGTGTTCTAAAATATGGTTCTTACGTTGCTGCCGTGTCGTTCATCTATTATTGTTAAGATCCCTCCTGTCTAGTCTGTCATCTCTTGGTTTTTCTAGCTCGCAGGTAAGGTCGAAGTGTCCAATGTAACGGTCCTTCATTTGCTGTGTGATGTGATTGCTGGAATTCCTACTGGAAGTAACAAATAGCTAGAATCATGCAAAATGCACTGAGAAGCATTTTGGTTGGCTTTTCTTTGCAGACGCACTAGGGCCGTATTTTCAGTAGCTGTCAATGTGCATAAGGAAGTTCAAAGACGAGACATATCCGTGGGACGAAACATCGGTAATCGTATCTTGAGATTTCTTGATCGTATGCGTCCACAGGCTCAAATTCGGGGCTCAGAGGCCAAGATTGAAGGATTTTCTGCTCCGAAGAAAATATTCCGAACCAACAGGGAAAAGTTGGATGCAAACCAGGCAAATCTAGCCGATAAAACCGATCTGCGAAAACCTGCTTTCAAAGCCTACTTGAGTGGGCAATTTGGTGGTTCCCTCAGAAACCGGTTCAGTAATAGGTTCGGCAGGTTTTCTCCCAAAACTAGGCCTTATTCAATGCCAATGATTGCCATGGGGTTATGGTGGCAGCCGGTTCGGCAGAATATGACGGCTTCTCTGTCAAGAGAGGCTCCAGCATATCAAATGTGGAGATCAGATTTTGCAAGGTTGCCCAGAGTACCCCTGACTCTAAGCGGGTTTGCAAGAGGTGTGATGCGGGAGGATATCGCTGCTTTGATCCGGAGAGAACTGTAGGCATGGAGGATGAGGGCTTTGTCTAGGATATCACATCCTCTTGTTTCAAGACTCGCTGCATTTGCTGGCAGAAGTTTGGGCAGATTGAAAAGGCTTACAGTCGAACCCCACAACACCACTCAGGTTCAAGATGACTTGAGTTTGAGAAGCGAATCTTGAGTTCGTGCTCATATGCCATTTCTTGCAAGCAGGGATTCTAGCCTCACAACGACAGATTGATATGAGGACTGTGTGGTGTTGGTACAGTGTATGGAGGAGTACTAGGTTTATGAGACGCAAAAGTCGGTTGGGGATAGAAGAGCATGTAACCCATGAATTGCATGCTGCGATGGTGAATTTTGGGAGATTACGCTTAGTAACTGTCGTTGGATGCATAACTACAATCTCCCTTTGGACTGCTGGAAGAAAACAGATATTGATTATACAGCACCAATATAGATAGCATACATTTCCATTTAAATTCGCTCCATCAGAAACATGCGTTGAATCGACACCGGAGGAACATTTCATTGAGAGTTGGCCGTAAACTTTTCTGCGCTTTTCTACAGTGGCTCTTGCTAGCTCATTTTTTTTTTCTTTCAATGAGATGCGAATGTTGAGCAGTATCATCCATAGCAAAGTAATGGTTTTTTCCGAAGCTGGTGATGGTGCTGTACCCTGGATGGTTCTGGAAAGAGCGTTGTGGTGCCTATTGCGGAAAGAGTCGTGCTGTAAGTTAGGAGTATTACACTCACTACCATTTCATCAACGTTGTCAAAATGGAGCCATCGCATTAACACCGTGTACAGCGTGATTTACCAGAGCAGTAGTTGTTGCCTCATCTTGTTCTTGCAAGTTGCAGGGCATTACCAACGTAGGATACTTCTCAACTGATGCAATCAAATCTGTTGTACCCACCGTCTCGACGTCAAAATCTCCTTCTGACCTTTTTCTGATGGTCACATGGATATTTGTCATGTTGACTGCGGGAAGAGAGGTCAAGTGCCATTACTCCATTACTCTCACTCTTTCTCCCAACATTCCTAAACTCTTCACCTCTATACTCCGGAGAATCACCAAGTGTTCACCTCAGCCTTTCAGAGAGGAAAGTACGTTGGAATTCAAGGAAAACTTGATTAAGTTGGAATTCCAAATGGATAGGTTTTACTGCACAGTATTTGTCAAAGCCAAGATATATATTTTTTTTGTAAACCTTTAATTGTAAATAACTTTTTTCAATCTTCAAAGAAAGACCAATTAAACATTGTCTACATTTAATAATTCACATATTAAAAAAACGTTGAAGTGTTCTTTGCAATGTTATCACTTATAAGTGGCATATATACATCAATAAGTTCTTATTTGTTCCATTTCTATAAGTAGCAAAATCTAGGATTCTATCTAAAAATTTAACTCATTGAGATTTTAATAAGTGAGGTGTTGGTTTTAATATTTTTATAATTACATCAATCTTACTTTTATTATAGCATCATATAATTTATTATTTATTTATTATAGACTTTAATCATTATTCTATTTTTTCAACTTTATTATTTCTTGTTTAAATAATCTTATTGAAGAAGTAATTGACATTCACTACTATTACATACAATTGATGCTTTCATTAACTTTGTTTTGGTTTTTTATGTCTTTTTTATCCACTTTTATTGAATCATAAAGTGTATGTGTGTGTATATATATATATATATATATATATATATATATATATACAAACTATGTAATATGATTTGATTAAATCCATTAAAGTATTTAATAACAACTTATTAGTCATTAAAATGTACAACTTCTAGAACTAATTGATACCATACTGCTTATCTTCTAATTTGAATTATATTTATCACAAATTTTAGGTTAATTCACCTTAATCTAACCATGATTCAAAATAATTAGATTGAAATTTATTATTTTACTTGATTAAAATGGTTGCAATCTATATTTATTAGATATTAGATTGAATTGCCAAAAAAAAAATTAAAGATTTATTCAATATTATAAAGAATTTTATACTTTCATAAAGTTATAACTTTCATACATAATTTTATACATAAAGTTAAAACTTTCATATATTTCGTGTCATTTATTTTATAAGTTTGTATCAAACTTTTGTACTTATTTAAAAGACTATTAAATGAATTTATTAAATTTTAATATACTTTATTTTTTAAATCTAGTAATTTTACAAAATTCAAAATTTATTATTTTATATCTACTTTAAAATTATTTTTCTAAATTACAAAATAAATGCATGACATTAGATATTTTCTTACATTGCATATTTAGAGATTCTTTTTCCTTTAAAAAGTTTATCTTTATTGATATGGTCTATCAAAAGATCTATTGATTCTAAAACTTAGTATTCAAAATTTGGTCACTTTGACAAGTTTAAAAATACAACACTTTTGCAATATCTAAGAGTCTTCATTCAAATGTATATATATATATATATATATATATATATATATTAAAAATATCTTTATATTAGTTTTGAAGCAATCATAGTATTGACTTGTCTTTATTCTTGTGTTTATGTATTGACTTGTCTTTTCTTATTAGCTTATACTATAGAAACCTAGTCTCATAAAAAAATTAGAAAAAATATCAAGAACTATGAAATACCTTAAATTTATGTTTTTAAAAAATCTTTATTAAAAAACTTAAAATGCTTATAAATAGAAAAAAATCATATATATCCTTTAAATATCTTGAAATATGAAGAATATCTCTATATTTTAAGTAATAATAAATATATTTTTTGTATTTTTATAATAAAAAATATATCTCTTGTGATAATATCCTATCATATAAAAAGGATACATTTACTATTTTCAAGGATACATTTGCTATTTTCAAGAATGTAGGAATATTTTTGATATTTCAAGATATTTAAAAAAATTATATGATTTTTTATATATTTTTTTATAATATTAGTGTATAAGTCCAATTATGATTTCTACAACAAAGGAAGCTAATTCCATAGACAGATATATTATTTACAATAATTGAAATAAAAATTAGTTAGATCATGGTTGCTTTAAAATCTAGGCATGTGATGTAGCTTTGATTATATAAAACTATGGCATATGATGGTAGCTTGTAATATAAGCTAATGATATGACATACATATAAGAAACTTGCCTTGGTGTTAAAACATGTATCTAGCAAATTTGATACATGTCAAAAATCTTATAGAATGTTGCCATATAAATCCTACTTAGAGAGTATATATAGAGGCAAGAATAAAGACTTCTTAACTCTTGTCAATGCCTTTCTAGTCCTTACTCTTATTTCAAGACTTTTTAGTCTTCTTATCTTAAGCAATAATCATTCTAATTTAATATTATACCATCTTTGAATGATTTTTTAGTCGTTTTGAATGACACAAGTATATATTGATTTTATAGTTTTTCAAGATTTATAACCTGACAATTTGTCAAAAATATTAGCTCATTTTTTAAATTTTTTTTAGAAATGAGTGAATTATCTTACTTCTATAATTATATTTTGAAGGTTGCAAACTACTGACCTTTAAACTAATAGTTTAATTTATTAACATTGATTATTTCTTTAAAAAGAATGAACTACTCTTCTTTATAGAAATTTTTATTTGGTATTAGAAATTGAAGATTACCTTCATCTAATTTTACTTGTGAATTTATTTGAATTTTTTATAAAAGAAAAAATTGTGAATGCTAATATCGGTAGAAGTAAGAATAGATTTGCAACTATTGCAGATTTGCATAAGTTTGTTAATACTCTTCAGATCAAAATCTCATGTATTCCTTCATGAACCATAGAAATACTATTCTTATGTCTAAAGATGAAGTCAACAATGAAGTTCAAATTCTATGTTAAGAAATTATGCAATTTAGAGATGCAAGTAGATTAAGTTTTGTCATAGATATATACATGTAAATCAATAATTACCTATATAATTAGATAAAAGGAGGTAAAAATAGATTAATTCCATAATATCTTCTACAAAAGCTTTCTAGAAGCTTCATAGATGTTGCTTTGATTTTATACGTGTCTATAATTGATTTTTTAGGATAAAAACATGGTCAACAAGTTAGCCATGTGGCACACATGTTGGTAGCTTGAAGAACAAGCTAACTCTGTATTGCACATATAGAAAACTTACTTTATAAGCTAAGGCATGTGTCTTGCAAAATCAACACATATTAGAGGTCTTATGGAACATCACCACGTAACTCCTAGTTAGATACTATATATATATATATATATATATATAGAAGAGTGAAGTCTTCTCCACTCTTGTTAATTCCTTTCTGCTTCTAATTTATATTCAAGAGTCTCTAATTTCCTTATTTTTTGGCAATAGCCATTCTAGTTACTTTTTAATATACATATTACTTTATTTTTATTTTTTCACTTTTTTTTTACACAAATTTCTCACGTTTATGCATCTTCTTCTAATTCATGTCTTTAACAAATTGACAAGAGTATACTTATAATATTAGAGCTTTGTCTTTTTTTAATTAAGAGTAGATTATTTCTTTCTCTTGATAAGACATAAGCATATTAAAAGTTACGGATTACTATCATGGACATATATATTTACTTCAATAGTTACTTATATGATTAAGTAGAAGTAGGTAAATATAGAATAATTTCTAAAAGTCTTCTAGATAAGCTTCCTAGAAGCTTCATAGATGCAGTTTTGACTTTCGATGTATTTGTAGGTTAGAAACTTGGCCAAAAGGCTAACCATGTATTGGTAGCTTGTGGAACAAGTTACCTCTGTGTAATAGCTTGTGGAACAAGCCAACTATATGGCACATACATAGATAACTTGCCTTGCAAGATAAGACATGTGACTAGCAAAATCAACACATGTTGGAGGTCCTATAGGACATCGCCACATAGCTCTTAGTTAGATAGTATATATAGAGGCAAGAGTGAAGCCTTCTTTACTCTTGTCAACGCCTTTCTAGTCTTAGTCTTATTTCAAGACTTTCTAGTCTTTCTTGTTTTTGGCAATAGCCATTCTAATTAATATTACATCACCTTTTAAGAGACTTTCTAGTTCTCTTTAGTGATAGAAGAGTGTATTAAGGATTCTCTTTCTTCAAGATTCATGTCTTTGACAGTTTGACTAGAGTACTAACATATTATTTCTCTCTTGATTTAGAAGTGAGTGGATTACCTCACTTCTATTGTTGTGTTTTGAAGGTTGTGGACTACTTACCTTTAGACAAAAAATCTTATTTTCTAATATTGAACTTTTTCTTAAAGAGAGTTGATTATCCCTCTTTTTAGGATTTATTTTTAAAGGTTGTAGATTACTCTCCTCTAATATAACTTTTGAATTCGTTTGAATTATCTATGGAAGGAAACATTATAGACGCTTCTCTCAACGGAAGTAAGAATAGATTTACAACTATAGCAGATCTTCATGAGCTTGTCAACACTCTAAGAGTGGAAATCTCACATATTTCTAACGTGAATCATGGAAGTACTATGCCTATGCCTATGAAAGAAGTTCAGAGTTTACGATAAGAAGTTGTGCAGTTGAAAGAAGCAAGTAGATCAATGTCACAACCAAATCCATGGAATTTTGCTTCTACAAGTATGACAGGGATAAGGATCACTATACCCGAGAAGTTTGATGGAACAAGA